GTATCTGTGTGAGCGGCCAAGGAGTTTTTCCTGCTTTTCTTGTCGCATCCTACAGAAAACAGAAAACAGGGACTGGGACTGGGTAGAGATCGGCTTTATTATTACAGCTATTTGGGCGGCGGCAGCAGGAAGGAAGCGGCGACGTCGATGATGGGTCTTATAATCCTCCGCTCGCTCAGCTGCATTTGCCGCGATGCTGGCATTTTCCAAGTAAAAATAGAAAATAGATAAAAATGCAATTTGCCTGGCTGTGGCTGCGCCTGTGTGTGTGTATCTGTCGGCAAATTGTGGATAGACAAAGGAACAGGAATTCGCTCCTCAGAGCACTCTCCTTACCTGGCTCACTGACTGTTTTGCATAAAAATAGAGGCGGAAAGTATCGGAGTCTATTTCTATTTTAAGGCCAGATCGTGTGATTGGCATCCTAATGGTAAATTAATTGAAAAGAAGGGAAAAATCTTCGCTCCCTCCTTGAACACCGAATCCCGATCAATTTATCACTGACGCTTCATTAGGCGGACACAAAAAGTTGCCGAGCATCAAAAGTTAAGTGATTCCATTGATTTATTGCTGGCCATGTGGGAACTTTCAATTCCCGGCAATTGTCCTGGCCGAAATAAGGAGCTGCCTGCAATCTGCGGGCTCTTTATGGAAATCGTAATGAAGACTGACAAACCCCTGCACTGCCATGCAGGAGTACACAAATAGCAGCGCAGAACTTACCCCAAAACAGGGGAAGGTCATCCGACCATCGCAACCCCCGGGAAGGACCCACATAAAGCCTTAAGTGCCCCGTTTCTGGCACCCAAAATAGACCGCCTGCATTCGACCAGAAGGAGCTACTGATCACACACCCCCGCGCACCAGGGGTTAAGTAAAGTATGCACTGAAAACAAATCTTAAGGGCAGGATAATCTTTTATACAGTTGATAGCCATTTATTTTCTAGTCCAAAAAGAAATACTTATTCTGAATATCATAAAATTATCGCATTACAACCTGTTTAGTAGGATTATCTTTTCGTTACCCTAATCTACCAATCTTTGCTGAAATATACGAAACCATTCTTAAATACACCCCAACTTTCTCCGAGTGCCAAACTAATCTCTTCAACCCCTGGACTCTGTTTATGTTTGGTAACCGCTTAACAGATTTTATCTCGGCAGCGCACAAATTACTCAACACCAACTAGAGTTCGGATTGGGATTCAGATTCCTGCGGGATCGTATTCCCTTGAGAAAGGGCGTTGGCGTGGGCGTGTCCTGTTTGCTATTCCTGGAACACACGCGTATCGCAGCACGCACATCTCGAGGATCAGCATTCGGTCCACGTGAGTGGCGAACGTCCTTTTCTGGCCTCATCAGCCTCATTGTCTGTATTCATTTCATTGACTTTGAGGCTTTCTGCCTTTTCCTGGCACAGAATGTACCCTATCTGCAGACCTTTTTCCCATCTTCTTTCCCTTTGTCTACCCAGTCATTGTTTGCCGTTTTCTTTGTTCTTTTCCATTTTTCCTTCAGGTTTTTTCTAGCCTGGGATCATTGAACTTCGGTCGAGGATCGTCTCAACTCAATGACTGTTTATAATTAGATGAACAAATTGAGGAGCGATTTTTCGGGTTATTCGGGGTGGTTTGTTGGTTGAAAAAGAGTCAAAGGGCATTCGAAACCATTTACAAAATAGGTCAACCATATTCAATAAAAAATATTTACTATTAACTGAAAAAATTCAAGCAGTAAGAAATGTTTAGTATAATAAAATGTACATAATTTCAAGTGCCCTCCCAATAAGAATATGAATAACATATGATTGGTTTATATTCATCAACGAATTTTTTATGTTTGCGAAAATCCTGAAATCAATCAATAGCGAGGACTTAATTCAATACATTCGTTCCCAGGACTATTGATCCTGCCCTCATCGAGAAGTCGACTTCCGAATCGTTAGCACCCGCGGATCCTGCATAATTTCCGGAATCCGACATGCCGCCGGACGCGTGTTAGCCAGTGATTACTTATTTTTCGGTGGCGGAACTTCTTGAATTAAATTTGCCTCGACCTCAATTAAGGCAATCAAGTAGGGTTTTCGGAGGGATCCTTTACCCGCAGAATTCACAAATTACACAACAGCTTGTTCGAGTTTTTAATTGAACGTAATTGGGGGTTGATCCTGCTCAGAGGCATTTGCAGCACAGTTTTCCCCGCCACGCGGCTTTCCCATGGCAACCACTGCAGCCAGAAGAAATCGAGCATTGAACCCTTTCCACCAAAAGAAAAAGCGAGGAGGACAGAGAAGAAGAGGCGGAGAAAGAGCAGAAAGAGGAGTCGGGATGCACTTGGTTGCCACTTGGCGGACTCCACATGCACCCATTTCCATTCCCATTCACATGCACTTTTTGCGGCCAGCTCCGCACCCCTCCCCGCATTTCCCCATTTTCCTACTTCCCCATTTCCCCAACCATCGGGAGTTTCCATCTATTCCGTTCCAAGCGACTGCTAATGGATTCTACGCGGCGCTCTTCAGCATTCTCCTTGCTTTATCACTTGTCCACTTCACCACCACCACTCTCCCCTGGTCCTAGACACCCATAGCACTTTACACTGGCAGAAAAGGTTATACATACGGTCCTGTTCGTAGTTCCTTTTACTAGAAAAGATACGAGATTCTTAAAATCGAAAGAGTGAGATCATGAAGGTGATCCATTTGCTGAAAAAGAAGAATAGATCAAACATTATTTCAAAATCAAAGTGGGTTTTCAACATTTCTACAAGTGTTCAAAACTCCTGGCATTGACTTCCACTACGTGGTGAGGCGAATGCACTTTGCCAGCGCCAAAGGTTTGTTTTTCTTCTGTGTTTTCCTTCAGCTCATTTGCCCCTTGGCCTATCGCACGTTTTTCTCCTGCTTTTCCCGTGGCCGAGGAAAAACTCTGCCTCCTCCCTGCCCCCGACTCCTCGCCGGCATTTCCTTCTGCCCTCTTCCACATTGTATTATTTACGCTCGCCGCCCGGTCTTGTGATAAGCCTCTGCGGGTCTTCCGCCCCTCGACGGTCCGGGAGGATTTTAAAGTCATCGCCGGACAATGTCCCAGACTTGCGGCTCTCGGTTTTCGTCTCCCCAGCGCCCAGCTGATAAGAAACCTCGAGGCTCGAGACCACGGGCCTGGTCAACGCCCCCAGAAAACGAGCTGATAGTGGGCCATTATTCAGGCGTTCCTTTTAGGACCTGAATATCGAGCGAAACGTCCAATATTTATTTATTTTTTTATGATTTTATCACGGTATATCAGCGAATCGAGTCATGCCAGGATGTGTGGTTACAGAAAATACACTTTTGACTTTACACACTGGGGAAAAAATCTTGATTTATGGGAAAAAATGGAGGATTGCATTTATTATTAAATGCCTAATAAAAAACAAGGAAGAACGCTATAGTCGAGTACCTCGACTATCAGATACCCGTTACTCAAAGGGAAGTGGAGATATGCAAGCAGCAAAGCGAGATTAAAATGCGCCACATACCGGCGGTAGACAGATTTAAGCGTTATGGGCGTTAGAGTGGGCGTTGAAAATTTATTTTTGGATTAATCGATAGGTATTGACGACACCAATACATTTCTGTTAAAATTTCTTATCTAGCATGCAAATTGTGGGCGTCACAGGTTTTCGCGGTTTGTGGGCGTTTTAGTGGGCGTGGCAAACTTTTTTTTAGGTCAATCGATAGGTATTGTTGAGAACAATACATTTCAGTTAAAATTTTCTATCTAGCATCAAAACTGTAGGAGTTACAGTTTTGGGCGGTTTGTGGGCGTTAGAGTGGGCGTGGCAGTCTACTGAAACAAACTTGCGCTGCGTAAGAAGCTCAGGAATCTGTACGCCAAATCTCAATAGCCTAGCTCTCATAGTTTCCGAGATCTCAGCGTTCATCCGGACAGACAGACGGACAGACGGACAGACGGACAGACGGACAGACGGACAGACGGACATGGCTAGATCGACTCGGCTAGTGATCCTGATCAAGAATATATATACTTTATGGGTCGGAAACGCTTCCTTCTGCCTGTTACATACTTTCCGACGAATCTAGTATACCTTTTACTCTACGAGTAACGGGTATAAAATGTTTGAAATTGGTATATTGGTCCTCAGAACCATATCTAAATTAACTTTTCATTCAATACCATGTAGTATTATTATACAATTTGATAGGAAATCTAATAGTCTAATAATCTAATCTTTAGTTTCCAATATATCTCTTGTTCTATCAATTTACCCAAAACCTTCACTTTGATCATCATCCCTCAAACAAAAATCATATAATTTTTCAGTGCAGATACAGACACACGGGTGGACTCACATAGCTCCTGGCAGCGATAAGAACGGGTATGCATGGGTCGTGTCCCAGGACGCTTATCGAGTGTTGATTTGCCTTATCGATCCAGCTAATCGCCAACAGGACTCATTCCCATCCTCCCTCCTCCGCCGATAAGGAGGCAGTATCGGGTATCGATTTCGGAGTTTTTCCCTTCGGTTCGGCCTGGCACTGTGTTTTTTCCACATATGGCACTATCGGATTGGAGCTGTCTTTACCTTGGCCAAGTGTTACCTTGCCCAAAACGTGAGCGTTGGCAAACTGCTCCAATTATTTGCGAAATTCGCTTCGCTCGATTTTGGATGGCCAAAATATATGTCTCATGTGCTGGAAGTGCTTGAAGCGCTGCTGTTGCAACATTCGAGGCATTTCTTGCTAACTCAGTAAACGTGAAACGGCGAAGCCAAGAACAGGCCCCCAACAATATACCCCCGTATCTTGGATGTGTGCCCAAGAGCCCCCGGGTAATTAGGTCATCGGTTGTGGTTGTGACAATTTCACGAAACGCACAAGAAACGAACTGCGACAGCAGAAAACTTGGATGGCAAATGACAATGCGCCGGGAACGTCGTTCCCCGAACATGCGCTTTCTCCACCCCCTCTTCTTTCAACAAGACCTAGTTTACGAGCTAGTGGGTCTATTTCCAAAATATTATTTTGCCTGGATCCGTAATGATAGAATCTGGATTATAAGCAGGCACATTGGGACGAAGGAAACCAAGCTGGTATTCAATTGGTCTTGTCCGCCCGGAGTTGTCGGTCCATAGGGCAGTTCATCGCAGTCTTCTCCACTGCCTTCGTCAAAACCCTCCAAAACCGCTCCCGCCGTTATATTATCATCGAATCCTTCTTCGTCTTCGTCTTCGTCATCGTCTTCTTTGGGCTGCCTGACCATACTCAGCTGCTCACCCGATTCACCATACCTGTTCACCATCAAATCTGACTGGGCATCCAAGGATATTTGGTACTGAGCGGGCAAAGGAATCGCTTGAGCAACAACTACGCCCAGAACCTGATCACTCGAAGTGTTGTAGACTATAGAGTGAATCGTACAAACACCAAATCGACTCACAATTAACAGGCAGCTTAAGACCACACATCCTCCATTTAATTCCATCGGTCCTAAATTTTGAAGATAAATTTTGTTGACCTTGCCGAAACTTTGACAGTTCGAAAGAGAATAGTAGATCTAAATCATAATGTATTATATTTGTCATTAAGTAAAACATAGTGACACTTAAAAGTCGTCCTCGAACTCATCCTCCTCTTCAGATTCCGCCTCACCACCCGCCGCCTGTTTCTTGTGGTAGTACTTTCTGTAGCCGATCTGCTGGAGCGGATACTGCGGTATCATGTACTCCATCCGCTGGTGCCGCCTTAGGGTGCACTCCTGGAATTCGCGGAAATCCGTAAAGTTGGTCGTGTGGCACTCCTCTGACCTGCCGTAGACATACAGCTCGCGGCGCAGCTCCATCCAGATGGTACGGTGTTCGAAGGAGACGTTGTGGATCATCCGGTTGAGCCACCAGAAGACTTTCGGATAGTTGTAGATGGTGGATCTGCCAAGGCACACGGTGCTTAGTTGGCCGGTATTGGGATCGTACTTATGGAGGGGCTCCTGGTCGACGCGGTAGCGAACCGCCTGGTGCCTGTCGCCCTTACCCTTGGTGAATCGGGTGTCCATAAACTGATTGCCGTACGTCACGCCCCACTGATTGTAGACCCAGTTTCCGTGCCGATCGGTTTGCATGTTGGGCACTTGGAGAGTTAGTTCCTTGACTTCATAGCCCTCGAATTGGTTGTCCCCTGCTTTTTTGCGGATCCCTTTTCCTCGGAAAGCAGGTCGTTTTCTTTTACGTTGATCCGCTGCGCCTTCTATAGATACGAATTATAATATAACTTTACCCCAAAACAATCTGATATTCTTATTGTTTAATAATTTCTTAGGTAGATCTAAGTTTTACCTGCAATTTTCCCTTGGCTCTCCTCCTTCCTTAAACTTTCCTCAGCTTTAGTCACTTCTTTTTCTTGAGTCTTTTTCCAAAAGTTAGGAAACTTCCTGTTGGCAGGTGGGCGGGGAAATTCCTTTTGGGTTGTATTTACGGCATCCATAACCCTCGACGTTAAAATGGACCGGTGGTTACCGAAAAGCCGAAGGCCCAAACCCGACTTTGGTTTCGATTTCACTGCCAATTTTTTTGCCAAATTATAGAGATCACTTTCCTGAATGTGCGAATCTACCAACGATGTCGTCATTCTGTTCCATTTACCGTGAGGTCGAGTAAAAACTGCCTTGGTTGTATCTATTTTATCGGGAAGCTTCGCTGCTACCATTGGCATTGGTTTTCCAAAGAGACCAAAGACGCCAGCCGAATCTACTCCCAATTTTTTGTCCAACTCAACGGAGGGATTCACCAAAGTCCTGTTTCGTTTATTGTCCGGAAAAGCAAAAGCCACGCTTTTCTCCACGGGCAACGTCTTTGGGATCCAGAGATTTAGCATAAGAAAACAACAAAGAGTCTCTACTTACATTGAAGAACCAACAAAGCCCCAAAAATACCAGCAAATTTAGCTTCAACATTTTCCACAATAGCTACTAAAAATGACCAATTTTAAGGATTCACTGAATAAAATGTGAAAGAGAAGTCAAGGTGTGCTTATATCGGAGGAATGAAACCAAGTGATTATGATCTTATAAATATTGTAAGCGGAAAAGTGATTTAAATATAAAATAAAACATTATCGTGGTTTACATCATATGTAATTGTTTTGTTTAATGTTTTCAATATAATAAAATAGGAGCACAGATTTATTAAGGAACTGGAATCACAACAAAATCCAAAAAGTATGAACTACATCTGGTGCCTGGGATACTGAGGGATCATGTACTCCATCCGCTGGTTGCGCCTGAGAGCACACTCCTGATAGGGCAGCCACTCGGTGAGGTTGCTCATTCGACACTCCTCCGACCTGGCCAGCCTGAAAAGCTGCCGGCGGAGGGATAGCCAAATGGGTCTATGGGAGTGGGGCGACCGGTACATTTTGCCCGTCAGATAGTTCATGATTCGCGGCTTATTGTAGATGGTCGAGCGGCCCAGGCACACAGTGCTTATGCCCTCGTCATCGGGATAGTAGTCCATGCCGGGGTCCGAATCGATGTGAAGGCGGGGCATGCGGCTCTGGTGGTTCACGTGGAAGCGGGTGTCCTGCCACACCTTGCCGAAAGTGGCGCCCCACGGATTGTAGACCCACTGGCCAAACTTGTCTTTCTTGTGAATGGAGATGGTCAGCTCCATTGGACGTGCTGGCGGACCTGTCGTTTCCTCTTTGTCCCCTTCTGCCCGAAACCTAACCATTTGGGTGGATTTTTTGGCGTTCTTGGTCTTCTTTTCCTTGGGCCTCCTCGGACTCTTGGTCCTAGATCGCATCTTGGCTGGGTTGCCATAGCCATCGTTTACCGGAAATAAACGAAGACCCGGAGCCAATCCGCCCAGAAATCTCTTCATGCGGGCTTTGTTGAAATCCTCATCGGGAGCCGGGGCTAGCACCTCATATGGCGGCGTTACTTCTTTCGATTGCCTTGATTCCCGTGTTGGCTCGGCAACGGGGCTGGCCGAGGTTTTAAGTTGATCCTGCGATTAGACTTTCAATTAACTAGAACACCAAAACAAAATTGGTTCTTCACTACCATAGCTTCGAAATCAGCATAGCTGTTAGTTGCTTTTTGGGACAAAGACTCCAATGGAATGGGAGAGGCATCCAGTCTTAGGATCTTTTAAGGATTAGGTTTAGTAACAGGAACGATCGATTTTTGTCTACCATGGACTTACGTCAATCAAACAACAAACACATAAGCTGATGGACAACCATTTCTGAAGCATTTTTCAAATTTTCACAGTGAATTTTTAACACTTAAAATTTTATTATATTTTTTTACTGCGAAGAGATCGGAAACGCAAGGCTAAGGTGAGAAGAAATATAAAATCCCTTTAAATACCATTAATAAATTAAACACATTTGTATTAAACACAATACTTTTGGTTTTTTTTATCGTTATATTTTTTATAAAATGTTTGTTAAAGATATATTTACTGAGCTTATGATCCGAAATCGGTAATATTAAGTTTTATCAGCATTTTATGAATACAAACTTAAATCAACCACTACAATCTCGTATAATAACGAGGTATGGTCGCATTAGAATGGCTGAAAATGACTGTAAGGGTTGTGTGATTGGCTCAACCCCGGATCGCAGTCTATCCAGTTTGTTGTAATTGACTTTTTGCCTCGACTTTCAATGGCCAGCGCTGCGAAGAAAGATAAAATGCCCGAGCGAGAGCTGCCAAAAGTAACTGGAACTGGGTAACCGACCCATACAAGCCACACTCGCACATACACTTACTCGCAAGTCAGCCACTTGGCCAACACACAGAGCCACTTGGCTAAAATGAGCGGCTCAAGGTCATCACGCCACACAAAAAGAAACAAAACGCAGACGGAGACGGAGAAAAATGCTGCAAATCTCTTGGCGTCTAACTGCAGCCAAAGTCGCACTTGCAGTCGTCGCTCGATGGCCTCGAATCTTGAATCTTGAATCTCGAATCCGCTGCAGCAGCAACAAAAGCAACAGCCCAGCAGCAACAGCAACATCAGCTCCCAGCGGGGCAACAACAAAAGCGGGCTTACGAAATCACGAGCCATTTGAATTGAATGAGCCACGCAGATCGTGGGTTTCTCAGGGGGAGGTTGCGAAGTAGGGAGTGGTGGCCAAGCAAGGCTCATACACGGCGAGAAACACTTAGTTAAAATTCCATTGTACTTCAATGAGATACAATACAATACTAGTGCATTTTACTAATAAATAAGTAGAAGTTTTACCTTTTCAAAAGGTATCCTTACCATGGTAAAAAAGTACAACTCTTAATTTGTATTATCATTATCATAATGATGTATGGGGAGGGCTATATATCTTTGGTATATTCCTAATACAATTATAACCGATTATAAAGATACTATTTTCTCTCTGCTTTAGATGGAGTTATAAAGTCACAAGCCCTCTCACACTCGCACACTTCTAAACAGAAACAGGCACTCATACTTGGGCACCAAAAGCTTGGCGCTTGAAAAATTCACACAGTGTTTCAATTGCACTTCACAAGGGAACCTCTGTGTATCTGCGAGATACATCTCTCGATCGTTACAAAATTGTAAGACTTCCCATCCCGTCCCCCTCGCCCTGTCTGTCCACTGTCTCTCTCCCTTTTCGCCGGCTAGTCCTACATACAAATCGATGGAATGCTAGTCGAACACTGATCAAATAAACCGCAAAACTGCCCATGCCCAAAGCCAGCTAAGATCATCAGCAGGCATCAACAGCATCATCAACAACATCAACATCATCAGCAGCGGGTAGAGAAACAACCGAAACCGAGTTTTGAGATCGGAACTTTGAATGCCCTGCCGTTTTGATATTACTTAGGATATTTTATGTACTATATGGTCTGTATGGGATGATATAAATTGCATTAGAACAATAAGTATTTTATACCCACCAAAAACGGTTAATACTTTAAACTTCTGGTCATTTCTATTTTGTCCATAATGATCTTCATTTTCCTACTAGTATAAATCCCTTTTCAAATGCCTATTTTGTAAAAGATCATGAAAATAAATTAGCTGTAGCGGGGGTCGGACTGGAAACCCCCAAAGTACTCAAATTTTTTAATGATGTCGTCCTAAGCAATGGAACATATAATCACTACCTTGTAGAGGCGAGTAATCATACCCTGTGGCGAGGGTATGGCAACTTTGTCGCTTTGTGGGCGGCATCAAAGTTGCCGTTCACTTGCAATTGCGATCCGATGGTGGGCGGCGTGGAGCGGCTCCTCTGGATTTCAGATGGTGGATGTGGATGTTGATGGCGACTTGGCGAGTTGGTGGACTGGTGGCGTGCCTCGGTGGCATTTGGTGTCATTCGAAGTTAATTGCTGGGAACGAGCGACAGAGGCCGCCGTACCTCGCTTTTGGCTCTGTCCCGGATTTGTGTCAACTCTTAAGGTTAACCTCGTAATTATGATTGTTGCTGCTGGTGTCTTCGGATTTCCTCAGTTCTTAGTTCTCGATCGTTCCCGCGATTTGAGCGGATAAGAGGTAGTCAGATACTTATAAGGTATAGGGTATTTATGCGCTCACTAATTCGAAATTTTTATAGTTTTGAGTGTCCAGGCTTTACAAGGTTTTGTGCCCATATTTCTAATGTATTTATATCTTCTTTAATTTACTACCCACAAAATATGACAACTGTATTTCCTCAAATATTCTTTTTATAGTTAAGTTTTACTTGAAAGTTTATTTAATTGCCGAGAGTTCTGGATCTTTCGACCGTTAGATCGAAAGGCAGAAACCAAAACATTTAACAGCATAGAGGGACCGAAGAAAAGTGAAGATGCTGCCGTGGAGAAAACCTTTTTCTGTCTTCCTACGTTTCCTATTTATTCAGCTTTTTCCCCGCCTTCGAACCTTATTTCCCCCACTTTTCAGGCACCCTTTTTCCAGTCAGCTTTTCTTTGGGGTCCCAAGCCCGCTGGCGTTCCTCGTTTGGCGGCTCTGGAGTGTGAGAAAATGAGAAAATCAAGGCAGCTTCAGATGCATAGATACTCGGATTCAGAGAGAGATGGAACGCTCCCGTCCCGTTCCATAAGTGGTTCCGTCTGGGTCCGGGTCCCGTTAGACCTGGAAAAAAGGGCAAAGCCAACTCAGATACATTTGTAACTGCGGAGTGAGGATCCCTAGGAAAAAGTCAAGCTGGAAATCCGAGTAATGGATTTCGAAACATCGCCAGCTCAGCTTTCGTTTCGATTATGAAATCCAAACCGAAAGAGTGGGCAGAAGAAAAGGTTTCCTTCATGGCTCTGGAGATTTCCCTGGGAAGACTGGCGAGGAATTCAGGTCAAGCGGGCTTAGGAATTTCAGAGGCGAATCTGGGGAGAATCCCTGGCCTGGTAATCTGTAAATAAATAACAAATACGACTCTAAACAGGCAAGAAAGGCAGTGCTTAATTATTCAAATGTTATGCGCAATTTAACTCTTTGTTGGTGTGGCTTATGTTTTTGTTTTTGTCCGTATTATTCAACTGCCATTCGATTTCGTTTCGTGGCGACTCCTTGATGGGCAAGTTGGCCAAGTGGAAAACCAGTTTTAGAATCGGCCAAAACCCAAATAGCAGCCACCATCATCGTATTAGAGAATCCCACGCAGAACGCGTTTCACTCACTCACTCAGCTTTTGGTTAACGAAGTGCACGACTTTGGTCTAATAAAATAAAAACAAAACACACACGTTCACAGAAAGACGCACACATGGGCAGAGGAAAACCCCCCACGCACAGGCACCTCTGAAGGTTGAAAAGCCCAGAGAATACACGGGAAAATACTTTCGGTATTAGCCCGATTTCAACAAATCAAATGGGGATTAGAAATGTTGACCAATATTTAAATGAAACATCGAATGCTTATGTTGTACAACATCCGGGCATCATTTTTAACAAATATTTAAGTACTGACGAATTTCTAATTTTAAAGTCAGTTAAGCAATGTTTTCTTTCAGTACCTGAGAGCGTAAAACAGACTCGCCCTCGCTCTGTGGAGAGTTTCTTAATTAAA